TAAGCTAGTATTTCTACAATATTTCAATTTTGGGCCACATTGCGTATTTTTCTCACACTCACTATTCCACTTTCTATTCCCTTTCAACCCACAATTAACCAAAAGAAAACTGATGGTGGTTGATGTGCAGCAACTTGGATACTACTTGTGTTTTTACTCTCATAATACTAGGAGATTAATTCAACTGAACTTTGATGCACAGTGACTTTTCTGAAGAAATGAATTTGACATTAATAATTTGAGTTAGGCAGGATGAGTCTGCATATAAACTGTTATCAGGTGCCCTCACTTTTTTTATCTTACGGTGTTAAAGTTTTCCACTCCCCAGATTTGTCTATGTAAGCACCTAGTTTTCCATCATCATTTTTACCCAATCAGATTCTGTACCAGCAATAAAGATAAATGATCACCATCCATTATTCTAGTAGCTAGCTGCCCATAACACATTTGGGATACTAGATATTTTGTGCACAGTATTATTGAATCCAGTAGTGGAACAACTCAAAAGTCTAAAGACCTAGAGTTTACTTTTAAGACTAAACTATACTGATTCTAAGAAAAGTGCAAGAGAATGAAATTCAAAAGAGAAAAATAGGTACCTAAGAGTAGTTACACCACCGGGCATGGTGGATGGCATTTGGATACCCAAACAGATGTACCAAATGCCATCCGACTTTGGCCCTGCAAGGAGCATCCATTGGATGTGCTTTGCATTTTGCTGAAGCTGGATGGTAGGGCCAAACCATCCATCAAACGGTAGGCTTGGAAGCCTCCAGGCACAAAAAATGACTGGTAGGCAGGATTGAACTGGCAACCTGCCTCCCATACACATCACACCAGCCAGTTGCAGAAGGCAGCACCTGACCACTACGCTATGTGGCTTCATGCTAGTTCCACAAAATGGTATTTATATCCCCCCAGACACATCTCAGGATGTTTTTTCAACCGTTGACCACCCTCCAAGCCTATTTTTTGACCATCAACCATTTTGTTTGACTGTGGACCCACGTGAAAACCATCAAATGGACACTCTGAGAAGTGTCCAATTCATGGTTTTCCTGTTGTCCATTTGACACTCTCAATCAAGTGTCTGACAGACAGTGGGCTATATGCCATCCTCTGGATGGTCTCGCCTGCCAAGCATCCCTTGCACGCTTTTTGAAGCATCCAAATGGTGCCAGGAGAGCCCGAGCCCCCATTGGATGCTTCGCAACCAAGTTGCAGGCGCTCAGGACGGAATCCATCCGTTTGCTGGGGTTTTTTTCTAAAAACCTGCCCCATGGTGTATGTAAATGGACATAGATTGTGCGCCCCCTACCCTTCCCTCCAACATCTGGTGCATGAGTGCATAGGCCAGGCTCCCATACATTGTTAATTTGTTGTGTACACAGGGGCAGTGTGGCCAACCCTGTCTACTCTATCCAAGAATATTTTTTACAGAGAAAAAGATATTGGTTTCCTTCCTCACTCACTGGACAAGCTTTCCCAAGGCCACCCATGCATCAAAGGTCCTTCCACATCATAGTTAGAAATAGTGTGTAATAAAGCAAAGTGTAAGACTCAAAAAGCACCAAAAGATATGTGATTTTCCATGAGCTCACACACATAACCGACTGCTGTTCTGCCACTGTTCTTGATGCAATTTATTTTTCCATTGAAGGTTATTTTCAAGCAAAAACACCAAACACATTTTTGTTTCTGTAAGTAAATATTTGTGGATGTTCAAAGCTTCTTATGTAGCATGGATGAATTTTTTTTTGTTGTGTGTTGTCAGTAACGTTGTAAGACTCAAAAGTGGTTGTGAAACCCTTTTGCTGAATGGAGAAGGGGATGATGGAGTTGCAAGCTCTGCCCTTCTATGCTATCAGAACAACAAGACCACCAAGCTTAGCTTGGCAGTTATATTTATCGTGATAGAGGATAGTTCAAGATGAAGCTTCTGAGTGATGTGTATAAGGGTCTGAAGTTGTTAATGAGTGATGATTATATTGCTGGAGTTGTTGTTCAAAGCTTTAATACCAAGGCTTGGAGCTCTGGGAGCGCTATGCTTCAACCAGTAATGGTATGTGAGGCAGGTTATGGGCACTTGGCACTTGTTATGATGATGAAACTGTTATGGTTGTATTTCAATATAATGTAGTGTTATGGCTGTCACTTGTATATAACCTGTAAGGGTGTTTGAGATGATCTGGTCCACTGGTGGGATGATGGAGGGAACAACTGGCAGGCAGAGGCCTCCTTATATAGACAAATGTGAGGGATTTTAGCCCCAGGGTACAGGCTTTTGAGGCATTTTAGCTGGCCTGAAGATCCAATGAGGGAATTTAGCTGGTCTAATACATGCAGGTGAGGGAATTTGGCTGGTGAGAGCACTGCCTTGAGGGAATTTGGCTAGCCTACAAGGTCCTACTACAAAGGAATGCATGTGCACCTACAGAGGAATTCAATATGCACTATGTGCCAGTAAAGGAATTCAATACAACACAAAGGAATTCAATATTCAATATGCATCCAGTATTCAAAACAAGCCATACTGAGAGTAAAGAATCCAAAAGATATCCTGTGACAGGTTGAAATCTGTGTAACTTCTAAACTATGAGAGATATGGGGTCAGTTGTAGTGGGTGACTAGGGTTAATTTTACCTGAGAAATCCATTTCTGATGTTATTTTTACCATATATATAATATATAAAGAGATAATAATAAATTTTTATAATTTTTCTGCGTAGAAACACAGTATTATTTACCACAACGTTACAAGAGCAGGAAAAGCTTCATATTATTAAAAAAGGGGGGATGCATATGTACTGTGATCAATAACCTCTGTAGATCCAGTGCAGGACTCCTGGGACGGATAGACACGGCAAAGTATATGTATATCAAAAGATCCCTTGAGGGGAAATAAATTGCAAATAGGTTCGAAGACTATTACAACTTGTGGGTGGTTTGAAAGACCTGCCCCTCAACTTGTACTAGAAAAAAACTAGAGTCTTGTAATCAATATTTAATAATATGTGGCTGATTCCAAGATAGATCTTACTTTTTTAAAGTAATCTCTTTCAGACATAGATCACGTATCAATCTACTAATGAATCTGTTACAACTTCATTTTAATCATGGAAACTGTGGTGCTGAAGGCTTGAGCACAAAACAGATGAGCTGTTGGAGAGCTTTTTAATGATCTCTTCCTCAAACAATTTCTTGCTAAGGCACTTTCATTAAAACTAGAGCTCCGGTGTTAATACTACTACTACTTGTTTATTTTTTAATGATCTTTGTTTTTAATAATACCAATTGTGTTCACTACTTGTTATGGTTCAATGGTTCTGGTTCTACTACTTATAAATCACTGACTTTACTTAACTAATTCTGTGACAATCACACAACACACTACTATTTATGGGTGATCAACTTACTCATGTAGGCTGATGGGCCCAAATTGAATTCCAGGTGGAGAGAAGCCCTCCTTTTATATTGAAGAGTGAGGGATTTCTGCTGCAGGGGACTTCTTGTGAGAAATTTTTGCTGCAGGTAACACCCACTAGCACAGCATGATGTCATTGGTTGCTATGAAACCAAGCCACGTAGTATGTGCTGAAAACTTCCAAAGCAGCAATCCAGTACAGTATACAGTCCTATGAGATCTGTTACCCAGAAACCAAATACACATTCCAAATGTTCTGTGTTTCATCTGAAAAGATGAAGCAACAGAGAAAAGCTCACTTACTTACTTCCTTGTTCATTCTTTAGGGTCAAAGCCTCTCCGCCTACCTTGCTTCTCCCCTCCTCTTCAACTATCTTTTGTTCTTTCATACCAGTTTACACAACAAATAAAACCATATTACATAACCTACCTACACACCCACCATGTCTACATATGAATACTGTATCCTGTTGTTGTATGTCCACTATAAATCCTATGTAATGAATGTTCCTCCTCTTGTAAGTTGTAATGAATGATAAGTGTGTGTATCTTTCACCTCTTCTTTATGCTTTTGGCATCGGAACAGGCACAGAACACCACACCGGCAAGATCTGGGCAAGCTGTGGACCAAATCAGGGTTTGGGATTGGCCCAGAGAGATCTGGCATCCAGCCAGATGCTGAAAACCTCCAGAAGTAGGGGATTTGTGGGGATTCCCTGCATCAAACCTGGGCAGGGGCCCAGCTTTTACAACTTAGCTCTGACTTTTCCCCCCTGAACCCTCTTTTTCAATAGTAGTATAGCAAAAACAAGCATAAGAAAATTTATGCTAGAGATCTGGAGAAAACCGGCTAAGTGCTGAATATCTGCAGGGTCAGGGTGCAGGATGCATGGAGTCCGGCTCTGAGGTACCAGGTCAGAACCCTACATGAACCAGGCTAAGTGATTCAGATGAGAACATAAGCCAGCAAGTAATTCTGTGTTGTGATTTTGATGATCTTGCTGTGATAACAATGCTTTACCTAAACAACCTTTACATACATACAGTTATATAGTTATGTCAAAGGACAGCAACAAAATACTTGTGATAGGAGAAAAAAACACACTCAGTCATCCAAAAGTTGATAAACAAAATCAGGGAAGCATGTTTTTTACTTGTTCATTTTAGGTTTAGATGTTTATATATGTATGTAATTGTATATATCGATAACAAAACAAAGCATTAAGAAATTTTGGCATCCAGAAGAAGACTAGGTCAGAATGAAGAATAGAACAATTCACACAGAGAGAGAAAGAGAATAATTACAATCTGATCAATCAAAGTACACTATGTCTCAAAAGAAATCATTCTGTTTTTTTTTTTGCTTGTTTTGTGTAAGAAAAATTGATATGAAGGTAAGTGATCCAAAAAAAAATTTATTCTAATAATTTTTTGGATTTGAAGACAATCCAATTGATCAAAGGTTGGAAGTTTTTGTGTTTAACTTTTGTTTTTCAAAGTGTGATTTTGTTTTTGTTCAGAGAATTTCTTGACAAGCTAGCTGTTCATACGCCATTGGGGACAGTAGGTGCGGATTCAGATTTCGAAGAATCGCTCAATTGATCAGATTCATCGACCGTAGCTTCGCTTTCGATCTCCTCCCTTTCAGCCAATTCGCGAGCTTTCTTCATGGCCTCGGCCTCATTACTTGAACGATAATAGAAGAAGAAGGAGGAGGAATGAGAGACATGTTTGAGCGAGCTTTTTGATTAACAAAAAAATCACTTACCCATAGTGCCCTTTTCTAGCTCGAACGAACGCATCATGTTTCGCCCGAGCATCTGGATCCAAGTCTGCCTCGTCCTCCTCATCATCTAATGCATCATCCCCAGCGGTGGATGATGGCCCAACTGGGGGCTGAACCAGTACTTGTCTCCTCTCAGTAGATCCTGAGCCGCGTCGGGATGATGAGGATGAGAAGCGTCGCATGGATGAGGATGGGTTCTGGGACTGATCATCATCTGTGGCCATCGGTTCTTCATGCTCAGCAGAGGCTTGATGTTGGGATGATGATGATGATGATGAGGCCCGACCGAGATCGAAGTCGGGAATGGCTGTAGGATAGATGATCAGATTAGAATCAGTCAAGTGTGAGGTGGTTGCAGACTCCGTAAGTGAACGTGCAGGGAACCCAATTCAAAACTCAACATTCCAGATCCATTACTTCATCAGTTTCTGCATTATAGCGAACCTGTAGGGCGGAAATAAATTCCTCTTCAAAAGCCTTCCTCTTCTGTGATTGAAAAGAACATGACATTACAAATGGAGTCTTAGGTTCGGTGATCTTCATTGTGGAATCCCTATTTTCGGGGGCAGGGCAGGTGAAAAAACAAATGAGTTTGAGTTCTTATGAAATCATGGATGAATAAGATGATAAAACATGAAAGAAGGGCCAGACAGACAGACCGATTAAGGTCGTTCAACGCCAAGTTCGGTTCGTCCCAAGTCAAGCTATTCAGGGGTTTTTTTTTTTGAGCAGATGTAGACGAAAAGGGAGAGTCAAGAGCAAAGAAGGGTGAGTCGGAAGTGGGCGTGATTGGAGCTGGTAGCGGGTAGGACAGACTGTGGTGAACGAGACTCCTGTGGTCCGATCTTGTTCTTCAGGATCCCTTTGGGTGAGAGGACCGAGGCGGAATTGGTTCTGTTGTTCATGAGCGCCGCGCGGGCAGTCGGTGTGCTTGATTCGGTGTCGGCCATGGTTAAAGGTTTTGTGCTGCAGTCTCAAGTCTTGCTTGCTGGATGAAGGAGTCGTTAGTGATATGTGAGGATGGATGCGGTTGATGGTGTTCGAGGGGTGGCCCACAGCAAGCGGAGATCGATTTGGATATTTGAGTGGTGACCCCCCCAGTCTGTCATAGCCCCGAACTGCTGACGACCCGTCGGATGACCCACTCCCAGCACCAAAGTTATCTGCAGTTGATCGTGGTCATGGGTTGGGGCCCTGCATATCTACAATAATTTACATCCACCTGGACTGTCCCTTCGGACGTTCAGCTACACATGTTTAGACAGTTTTACATAGCCCGGATCATAAGAACGAAAGGAAGTTGAGCGCATCCAGCTACATATTCGAAGCCAAGTCTCTACATAAGATCAAGATGTCCCTCAATGGGGCACCTCGATCACCAGGTGGGCTTCAGTGGATGATGATCCCGAATCACCCACCAGAACCAGATCCACCACATGGCACAGAAATCTGGACGGCAACCCATGATGTGATACATATCTGAGACCATCTCCACCGCAAGTTGCTATCCGAGCTGCCAAATCTGAAAGTTTGGCAACTGCGGCGCATTTTTAGCAGCTTGCGTCAAGTTGGTTTTGCACCGGAAGTTGCTATAATAGCAACTGGGGAATGTGAAAGGTCCCCCCCGGGGCAGCATAGACTGCACTCCTTATTGTATTTACCTCTTTCTCTATAGCGACCGGCTGGTACCGACCAAGGAGAGACTACACTATCCGGTGACCGGTACCTTCCATAGGGATTGTACACTGGTAAGGGTCACTTCTCTGGTGATCTCTAACCGGTATCGGTCCTCAAGAGTATTGACTCTCGTGTGACCGATACGATTTGAGATTCCTATTCACTTGTTTTGAACCGGTATCGGTCATCGGAGAGGGTAAACTCTCTAGTGACTGATACCGATTCTTGGGATCGTACATCCACGATGACCGGTGCCGATCTTTGAGAGCGTACATCCTCTAGTGACCGGTACCGGCCCTTGAGTGTACACTTTCGAGTGATCTGGGCATTGGGTGTTGAGTTGTTTCGGGGGCGATGGGGAAAGGTGAGCAGGAGAATCACAAGAAAAACTTGTGATACTCGCGAGGTTGAGCTGCTATCCTGATGCCAAATTTGGTATCGGGATAGCAGCCGAGAGGTGAGTTGCTAAAAAATTTGAGTGTTTAGCAGCCCCGGTGGAGCTGCTAAATCGAGTTTGCGCTGCTATATTCGGTTTAGCAGCGCGGTTTAGCAGCCGCGGTGGAGATGGTCTGAGAGGCTCAACACACTCTGCTAGTTTTCAGGAACATGTTCAACATTGCTGAAGCATCTTTTCATTTGATCTCCTCTTGTACAGTACTCTCTCAAACCAATTTTCAAAGCTGGAACCCTCTTCAAAAGAAGCTGATGCTTAGGCCATATTAACATCATATCCACCACCTCCACCACTCAACTCAAAAAGCATAATCTCATCAGGGGGGTAGGGGGTCACAACAAGTTTTTTGTGTCTGCTGGTCCCTTCTATTTGTTTCTTATTGGTCACACTGTCTTGCTGAAACTTAAGCTGAAATTCATTCCAAAAAGAAAGACCAAGACAACCATTTATCACTGTTAGACCATTGGACATCCTAAATTTGTCAGTCTGATTGGAACACCTAACTATGTCAAACCCAACCAACCACCCACATTAAAACCTGCCACTCCCCCTCCCTCCCTCCATATCACACCTCCCCTTGGTTTTATATGCAAAACCAATTCTTCCACCAAAGCCCAGCACCACCCCTTATCAGACTGCAAAGTTCCCTAATCAGAGCAGACACAGAAACCTATTAATTTATCATTCACCATGTCAATGAGTCCAATGAGACATGGTACCAGAACCCAGCTGGAAGAAATTGCTTTGAAGCATTAAAGATGTTAGCAAATTCCAAGGCCAAGTTGACCATCTTATTTTTTTTGACTTGTGTCAGTGCAGCTGATGACAACATGCCCTTTCCAGGATCTGAAATCAGAAAGAAAGTTAATGCTAATCAAGGCATGTCTTCACTTTTCAGATTCTTTAAAGGATTGTGTTGCTTCAGCTGCGTGGTTAACATAGCAACTTGGAGGGTTACAGAGAAGGTAAAGTTGCTTCAGAAATATTCTGATAATACTAGGTTCCCAAGAGATAAGATTGGCATGCATTTTTTCCAAAATTGAACATGAAGGTCCTCAGAGGCATCAAATGGTGAATTCAAAAGAAGTTTCTTTTCTGCCCTCAAATTAGAAAAATAGCTCCTGTTGGACGTCCACAGGCAGTAATAGGAGCCGTCAACTAATTTTTATGAGTCATTTTTCCAAGCCCCTTATTGACACGCAGGGCCTATTCCTGGGAGGCATATACCCTCACACTCAATTTTATTGCGGTTTTGGACTCTTACACATGTGTAGAGCTCAGAATTGTAACTGCTAAGCCTCTACAACAGTGGTACTTGATTTTTTTTGCAGCATGCATGTATTTGGACATGCCTAACAAAAGTCATGCCTAAATCCATAACTATGGGGTTTAACCATGTATAGTCATGGGGTTGTACCTTGTAGGCTGCCCTATCATACCAGTAGCATCTACCATATGAATTGGTGAATGCTCTACAGTATTTTCCAAGCATTTTGAAGGCTAAAAAAAGCCTGAAAGTATGAAAAAATCCTGATTCTTTTGGCTCACCAATTTGGACATCCAAAAAATCCTGGGTCAGTCTATGCCGTCCGCAACTGTAATAATCATTTTGCATAAAAATGAAAGGTTTTTTTTTGAATATTGTGTTTGTCAGTTTGACATGTTTTTTTCTTAATTAATTTTTTACAGCTTAATCTTCATGATTTTTTTAAATTTTAAATTTACTTCCTACACTGTGAGAGGTTTAGCATTTTATGGCATCACCCATCTTGCATAAAAATTGGATTTGTATCTATCCTTTTTTTTCTCTTGGACACATCAAATTAGAGATGGTCGATTGGCATCCGGATATCCGCGCGGATGCGGATATCCGGCTGCTTTTTCCGGCCATCTGAGCATCCGCACCCGCTGGCGGGTATTCGAGTGGGTATCCTCGGATACCCGCCCTCTAAAGGGCCGGCTGGAAGGGCTTCCTTCCAGCCGGCAAGGTACAAGTACCTCGTCAACTGGAAGGACACCCTTCCGGCCTACCTCTTGCTGGAGGGAGGACGCGGACGCCGCCCCGCATGTGCATCATTTGAAGTCCATTATATTTAGGGACTGGGACTCTGACAGGATGGCTTCCCATCAATACATACCTGTGGAAGATGCAGAATCCGTTCAGCCTCGAAAACTAGAAAGCCCAAAATTTTCAGGGGAAGCAGACTGTCTTTTTGCAGATCAGCTTTTCTTTCTAGCGACCATCCATAATTATTTTATTGTGACTGCTCGCACCTCCACACGGACAATAACCCCGTCCAATCCAATCCGGAGAGTCCAAATAAGGCCCGTGACTTCCCTAGGAATCTCTGATTAGACTCATTCTTACAACTTGCCAGCCTCGGCATCTGATCCTTTGGTAAGACTCTCTGCGAGTGTGTGTTCGATGTGAACTTGATTGACAATCAGCCGAAACTCAAGCAAACTCACTAACAGACCCAGAGAGGGATTGAAAGGATTTCAACGTGTACAAGATGCTCTGCTTGTAGCCTCACTTGTCGAGATTTGAGAGCGCCGCCTTCAGCTCTTCGGTGACACCTGGAAATCCGTCTGGAGACCACGCGTTCTTTAGTGATCATAAGCTCTTTGGAGAAAATCACTTCTTCTTCAGAACTTGTTGACTGCGGCTGGAAGGAAGCCCTTCCGGTCGACAAGGTACAAGTACCTTGCCGGTGTGGTGAGAATAATCAAACCCATAGCCCATAATTAAAAACAATTTATTATGTATACATAGTAGTTAAAATACTAGAAGGAAGGGGGTAGTTTAGGAAACAAAACACATAAATATTACTGGGCTAAATTGTAGTTAATTAATTCACAAACTAGGCTTAAGATATTCAATTTCTTATGAATAAAAATGATACAAATAACCTGTAGAACTATAATACATTCATCTTAGACTAGTAAATCAAGCTACTGATTAGAAAGTGCTTCACAGACTAGTTCCAGAAAATAACTCTTATACTAATTAGTCTAAGAATACCATTCTCATATTAATTAATCTAAGAATAGGCCTCATATAGTAGATTTACAACCTCTTGTATTAGAAAGGTACTTAGAGATTAATTCATATCAGATTAGGCCATCTCAGAGTAGTAAAAACCACTCTAGAAGTACCCTTCTCAGACGAAATTGTGTTCAGGCAAAAAAACCCATGTACTGCAGAACCATTTGTCTATAAATAGAGGCTCCTCTGTCTCATGTTTTCCTTTCTCCCTCCTCATGCTAGCTACAGAACAGTAATCAGAGATATTACTCAGCTTTCATCACCCCTTGATTAAAGAAATCCAGATATTATTAGAGCCCCTGAACTTCCCTTACCTCAATTTTGGCCATAGACAAGTAATTCAGAAATATTGCTTAGCCATTCTCACCTCCTTGAAAGAATTAGAGAAATCAGCGTACTTTTTTATCTGAGCCCAGAGAAAACAGAGAGACTTATAAGAACAGAGAACCAGAGAGAAGTTATAACAGATTTAACAGAGAAACCCTACAGAAACCCTTATTACTCAGAAAACCCCATAAACTCCTTACCTCTTCAACAGGTATTCTTAAGCAATAATAACAGTAGTATCAACACTAAGATTAATTTAGAAATAAGCCACACTCTTATTTTTCTTAGTGTAACTTTCCCGCAAGCTAGACAGGAGGGCAGTCTCACCCACACACCAATAATAATTCTACTATCTCATAGTCTTATTAGCTATTTATCCCCTCTAAGCTCTTTATCCCCTCTAAGCTCTTTACTCACTTGCTGAGCAGTTCCACACCGGCTGGAAGGGTCTCCTTCCAGCCGGCCATCTCCCCTTCTGGCCGCGGGTATCCTTTGGGATACCCGGATACCCGCCAACTTTTTGCGGAAAAGGGGCCATCCGCACACAAATCTGCACCCGTTGGTGGGTATCCGTTGGCACTGGCGGGTATCCGCCAGCGGATAACGGGTATCCGCGACGGATACCCTTCGACCATCTCTACATCAAATATTAAAATTAAACCTTTGATTTCTATGCAAGATGGATGATACCATAAAACTTCACACTTCTCAAAGTGAGGGAAATAAATTTAAAATTTCAAAGATTAAGCTGGAAAAAAGTTAATTAAAAAAATGTGTTCCCCTCGCGGTGTAGGTCATAAAACAACTTAACCCCATATAGAGGGGGTGTCCCCAATGGACCAATACCTGGCCCAACAAACTGAGGGGCTTGTTGTTAAGCTATGTAGTGTCTTCTCCGCCGCTGAACACCAACCAAGATACGGGTCTTGTGATCTCTTGTGATTGTCTCTGGCGCTTGGAAGAGAATCTGAAGAAAATACAAACTTTGGTGGCAAAAATGTGTGAGTTGGTGTTGAAGCCTGAATACTTATGCACACTTAATCAGGGTTTTCTCAAAAACACAGAGCATGGCTACCTAATCTGATCTATGTACCGCTACCTGCCGCTACAATTGATGCGCTACAATCGATGAAGGCCGTACGATTGTGTATATACAGTTACGGCATGTGGTGATGGAGGGTGAAGGTTTCTCCTCCTTGGGCATCCTTTGAACAGTGCCCTTTTCTTTTCTTGACCTTATTGCTGGGCCTTATTTCTCCCTTGAACACTTGCCGGTTCTGTCAGCTCAACAAACTCAGTCGTGTTTCTGCAGTACAGCAGTTCCCAGAAAGCTTGCTTACGGAGACCGGTCGAAATCACAAAAATTAAAATTAGAAAACTTGCCTGAGCCCCAACAAGACCTCGGCAGCATGGTCGGAATCTGTACAGTGATGTGTACAGGCTGGGAGGCGCAAATAAAGTTTTATTAATATTTTATTTTTTGCCATTTCAACCGGTCCCATTCTGGGAAGTGCTGCAGTTAATTAATCCTAGTTGCTCTTCAACGATACAGAAGAATATATTTATTAACACCATAAAATTCACCAAATCAAAAGCGAACTCATATCGAATAAAAAGACCCAAATTCTCAAAGGCAAAGCGACCACACCCGCCAAAAACACAACCTCAATTCACAGAAAGACAGCGAGACGTGAGGAATGAAGTCGATTTCGATATTTTTCATTGTTTGTGTCTTGGCCTATTTCTCACCTGGTAATGGTAAGCTCACCCCGATTCAATTCAAGCTCCAAATCTTTCTGTGTTCAATCACTTTTCGAAGTTTGCGTCAGGGGTCGTACAGAGAAGGTGCCAGTGTCAGTCATTAACACTTGCCCAATTCTGTACTAGCTCAAGTGATTCATTCCCTTGATCAAGCCGCCTCGCAAGGCTCTACTGGCCTTTCGCAACGGGTTCATTCTTCCGTTGGAAAACCGAGCCATCCGTTGAATAAGCATATCCGAGAGAAACCTGATCCTACAACTTATATGGGCTTTGGTGCATCGCGGGAGGTCGACGATGGAGGACAGACCTACGGTTAGAACTTCGATATCTGCAACCCATTCAGCTTTGGACAGCCAGCACCCTGCGTTTTTCCCAACATTCCCCTAGCAGCTATTTATCGGTTTCTCAGAGTCGTTGATCTCCTTATTTTCACTCTTTTATCATATTTGGCACTATTATCCGCTGAGAATTTTTTGAAGATCTTTTCAATTTTTCTGCTTTGATCTGAACTACATAGAGATCAAGGCGGCTACGCCGCTGCATTTTCAGTTTTACCTATCTACTCAAACCTTCTGCACACTTCAAACCTGACCATTAGCTATTCATAATATTAACCTTTCCTGCTGCATCACATAAAAAAACAGCTTTCATCCAGTATTCATGCCACAACCTTGAATTTTGCAGTTTGGTTTGATGTCAACTTGTATTCACAAACTCAAGGGAGATGGGGATAAGTTATTCATAATCATTAACCTTTTGAGTCTTATGAATTAAGTTGTACCCATGGTTGGATGGAGCAAGGCTGATAAAGCTGAAATATTATCAATGTTATGATTGATTTCAGATCACTTGCATTGGCAAGGCAGTTGCAAACCTCTTTCAATTGGATGTCTAACATAAAAATCCCCTCGCTGGGCAATGATGACTTGAATGTATTGAGGGAATCAAGGGGTGCTGCAACAAATTCAGATTTTGCCTGCTCATGAGATGAATATAGAGATTGTTTGTCTGTACCTGGCACTGTGGGCAGGTACCACCGGCACCCGCCGCACACCCTCCAGGAGTGCAGTGCTGGGTGTCTGTTTTTGGGGAAAAAAACAGGCGGTACTACCCCACTTCCCTAACATAGGGTGGGGGGGGGGCTGCATATTTTACAATAAATAAGAAAAGATTGAGAAAATTAACTACAATTTCAATAGTACTTCATATCCAGTACTGGATATGCAGTAAAAAACTGGATATGCAGAATTTTTTTGTTAAAACAGTGTGAAGAAGTGAAAAAAAACAGCACATCCAGTTTCATTTCACCACATATTCAGTACAGGATATGAAGTAATGTTGAGAGATCTAGTTGAACTGATTTAGAAAGAGAGGTAAAGTTCTGCCAGTACCCGCCAAAAGTACTGGTGGTACCAGGTGTGGTACTCGGTACCTATTTTCTTATAGAATTGAACAGGTACCCAAGTACAAACAAACACTCTATAGATTAGAGATGGCCGCTTTTCATCCGGATATCCGGCTGCTTTTTCTAGGGAAACCGGCCTCTGCACCCGCATCCGCATCCGCTAGCGGGTCTCCCCCCGCCTTAGCGGGTATCCAAGCGGGTATCCTCGGATACCCGCCCTTTAAAGGGCCGGCAAGGGACCGGCTGGAAGGGTTTCCTTCCAGCCGGCAAGGTACATGCTTGATGGCTGGAAGGATTTCCTTCCAGCCGTCAAGGTACATGTACCTTGTCAACAGGAGGGTTTCCTCAGTCAACGAGGTACATGTACCTCGCCCCTTCCAGCCGGCCATCTACCCTTCTGGCAATGGGTATCCTTTGGGATACCTGGATACCCGCCAGTGTTTTGTGGAAAAGGGGCCATCCGCACCCGCTGGCGGGTATCCTCCAGGGGATAGCGGGTATCCGCGACGGATACCCTTCGACCATCTCTACTCTAGATGAATAACCAGTGAGAATCAGTGTAGATTTCCAGTGTGGGAATTGAACATGGAGAAACTGCTAGACTCTCTCTTGATTTGCAAAATTCTGCAGTTGGGTCACCAATTTTACAAGATTTGATATGGTCTCACCATTGATAGATGTGTCTCCAGCTGATATTCACTGGCTATATGTGTTGAAACTGTTTGACAGTGCAATTCCAATGTAGACAGTTGTGTGTGCAAGAAAAATGGTTCATTTCATTCAGGGCCTGTATCATATGGCATGAAAATTCAAGTTTTCATAATTTATCAGAATTTATCTTCCTCAAACTCTCAGCAAATTGGTGTGCAGGCCTGCACGCCAACTGCTTTGGCGTGTGGGCCTGCACACCAATCTGCAAGTGGTGTGTAGATTGGCGTGTGCCAGGGGGGGTGGTGTGCCGTTATCATGCACCAGTATCTTGTCATGGTGTCTAGTGCTGAAATCTTTGTAGTCTGTGAAACCTGATATAGTCTTTATCAACTTTCATTTACTCCACTCATCCTTTCAAGCATATGTGAATTTGTGTTATTCATTTTTATATTCAATTTTTTCTCAAACCACAGATTGAACTTATTGTATGTAGTCTATACAAAGTGCAGGCTCTCACAATGAATAAAAAATCATTGGCTCTATCACTCTTTTTTTCAACCCTTGAGCCATTCCAAAAAAAACTGTTTTTGTTGCCCAAAAAGTCTTTTCTCAAAAAAAATCATACTGTCTTTGTTTGTAATTTCTTCACAAAGTAGATTGGCATTAGAGATGGTCGGTCCGCATCCGGATACCCGTTCGGATGCGGATATCCGATGGCAATTTCAGCGAAATTGCACATCCGCATCCGCACCCGCACCCGCTAGCGGGTATCCGTCGGCCGCAGCGGGTATCCTCGGATACCCGCCCTCTAAAGGGCCGGCGACGGACCGGCTGGAAGGGCTTCCTTCCAGCCGGCCATCTCCCCTCCAGGCCGCGGGTATCCTTTGGGATACCCGGATACCCGCCAGCGATTTGCGGAAAAGGGGCCATCCGCACCCGCTGGCGGGTATCCGCCAGCGGATAACGGGTATCCGCGACGGATACCCTTCGACCATCTCTAATTGGCATGCAGGAAAACACACAAATTTGATTTGGCACATGGGCCTGCACGGTTGGAATTCTGTTCTCTCTCTCTCTCTGTTGAGTTTTCACTCCTGTCACCAATTCTATTTGCCTGTGAAAGGTGTTTGTCCCCACCGCCTTGTCCGCAGCAAATCCTCCAACCACTTAGGGTTTCTCCATCCCTGAAGGATAAAAGAACCCTTGACTCGATTCCTTCATTCCCCAGACTCAACAAGATTCTCGACTCTATTTCTGGATCCTTGCAAGAATCTAGACGTCGGACATCCCTCAAGTCAAGTTTCCATTCAGCTCCGGCTGTTCTTCATCGAGCATTGTGTTCTCAATGTGCTGTTTTGTTTTCTTTTCTCTTGATTCTTTTATGATTCTGTTGTTATTTCTATTCTCAGTTGTTTGATGTGAAAATCACTAATCTTTTCTTTCTTTTATTCTCAGTTGTGCTTCTTTGATCTTCTGTCTCCTTACTTCTTCTCAAGTCCTCATCTTTATACTTTTTTTGTCCATCATTGGTGGTATGTTTTTCTTCTTTCTTTTCTTTCTTTTTTTAGAATTTTATCTGATCTTTTGTCTTGTAGTCTGGTTTTTGGTTCTTTGAAATTACATCAGAATTTCTTCACTCTCATTTCTACTTCTTTCCTCCCTTTCACACCAATGTCACTCCTTTCCCTTCCAGATGAATATGCATCCTTTTCACCTTCTGTTCCACAACTCAACCAAAATGTTTATGTAGATAAATTAGCCATACTATGAGTTAAAATATGAAAATCATCAGTTCTTCTGCGTCTGTTCGATGAGGTCACTCATACAACCTCTTGTAGTGGGATTGCTTTTCCAACCCACAAGCTAGCAGCCTATGACCTTGTTCTTTCTCTTTTCAGAGGTTTTTGTCACCAGTCACTTCTCACCCTTCTCAGCTCTTGTTGTAAAATTTAATGCACACCAATGTTCAAGCAATGCATGCCTCACCTGCAGGTTGTTGTGCAGGCACACCAAGGCTGCTATCCCATAGGACCCAGGAATGGGTCCTATGGGATAGGTGTACAATTTTAACATTAAAAACAAAAGGCGGGAGGAACCTCTCCCAGATCAAATTGTACATATCTCAGGGGCACAATGAATCCCTCTTGGCCTTGAAACCTTGTACAATCTCAATCCCAAGATGAACCCCTCTTGGCCTTGAGACTGTAGAGTCTTGAGGCCAACAAGGCATAACCTCGTTGGGCAGAAGGTTTTCCTTCCGGCCAACAAGGTACATGTGCCTTGTCAACCAAAATGATTTGACCGGAAGGGAAAACATTCCAGTCAATGAGGAACAAACTTGTCAACTAGATTTAATGACAACCAACAACAGTGGGCCAGCTACGCTAACTGTAGCAAAAAATTGCTACAATTTAGCGTAGCGTTAGTGCTTTTTTCAATTTTTGCGCTAACGCTACGCGCATGGGGCAAAAAATTGTGCTAACATTTAGCTTAGCTTTAGTGTGATTCCCCCCATCTGTGCTAATGCTACGTGCACAGGGCGCAAAAAACCGCCCGCTACGCTGCGTTACAGCAATTTTTAGCGGTTTTTAGGCGTTTTTTTGCCGCTAAAAACGCTGTAGCGTAGCGGCGCCAGAGGCGCACTAACACTACACCAAAAAATGCCTAGTGTTAACGCCGCTACAAGTTAGCACAGCGGAGCGCTAACACTACACAAAAAAAATGGCACCGCTACGCTAACGCTACATGGGTCCGTAGCGGCCCACCGCTGCAACCAATAAACCCAGTTAACAAGGTCATACCTCATAGACCGGAAGGTCTTCCCTTCCAGTTGAAAAGGAACATTTACCTTTTTGACTGGAAGGTCTTCCCTTCTGGTTGACGAGGCACACGTACCTTGTTGACTGGAAGCAGTGGTGGGCCAGCTATGCTAACCGTAGCGTTAGCGTGGCGTAGTGTAGCAAAAAACA